AATTTTTAAAGTTGTGACAGAGGAATATGTAGTAATGAAAAAAAGGTATCCAAAAATACCAGTCTGCATATACAAACAACATTAGTGGCTCATAACTGCTTTCAAAAAAGTCTGCATAGTCCAGTTGACATACTCTTTTGTGTAGACCCATGAACTGTAAAAACCTTTGGTACCCTATTTATTGGTAACTTGAAAGAAAAAAATCCCTAACAAATTTGGAGGTGATTTAACATGTTTTTAAGGTGATGATCACAGGAAGTATAGCATGCTCAGTGATTGGAGTCATTTGAGGAAGTTATGTGTTTAATCAATGAACTGAAGGGTGACTGTTTATGACTCTGATCCATGCCAATAAAGGTTTTGAATTGAATTGAATTGAATTGATTTGTGAGACAGTCCTGAAGTTTTGATTATGCCTGTATCCTGTGCCTGTTTAAAAATGTTTGTGGCCCCTGACCAACAGCCCATGGTATAATAATGAAAACACTAAAACAGTAATACAGAAACTTCTAGGCCAGCATAAAAAACATGCTGGTTAAAGGTTTATCATTACCTGTCACCTGCTTAAAGGAGGGCTTTACAAACAATAAAGGTCTTTTTCTGCTGGCAGAAACTGTCCAGACTTGGGAACAAGGGAAGACTTATAAATAAGCCATGCGTGGGATTGGGAATACTAAGATTTTTTTATTCAATCAAGTTTATAACTAGCCCCTGCTTAGTTTCTTCTGGCAGCTTGAAGTAAAATATGTGAAACGAAGTTGCCTTACATACCAGTAGTTTCTCTACTCTAGAACTGGCTATTCTGGCACTGGTGTGCCAAGATTTTAGGTTGGGAACTTTTCCTAACCTGCCAGTTAGCTTCTTTAACGGGAGATTCCAGGGACTGGACCTCAGAACTTCAGCGTGCAAAGCCACATTGCTAGAATTGCCATTCTGCCTTTCCTTTGTTCTGGACAATGAGGGAAGTCACAGCTTTGATTAAGCATGGAAAACCAGAGGGAATGTTTTGCTACCCTGTCTTCGTGAGCTGCTGCTTCTGAGCTTGCCTTAGTTGCAAGCCTGCATCTGCAGTTAGTACTTTTGTCCCCTTGTTAGAAGCCACTTGTTAAACCTATGAAGCAGCATCCTGTGCTGCCTCATGAATTTCCAGATTTTTCCAGAAAGCGGTGTTGCAAAAAAATCAAGTCTCTCTTTAAAAATATCAAAGGACAGTGTTCATTAATCTCCACACTATTTGGCAAATCAGAACACTTGGATCCCTACTTGCAGGTTTGTGGGGGCCACACATACTTGGAGACTCCATTTCTTTTATTACTAACTAGGAAAAAGGCTCGTTGTGGAAATAAATACAACAGCCTCTAGAAAGAGGCTCTGGGCAGGTGCCCCGGCCTTGGACACTCAGTGTCAATTTGCTGTGGCGACCTCAGCAGGGTAGAATGACACTGAGTCCACCATTTTCTCCAGAGGAACTGATCTCTGCTACCTAAAGAACAGTTGTAATTTTGAGTGATCTCCAGCCCTCACCTGGAGATTGGCAACGATGGTTCCACAGAAGGGAATGGTTGGTTTGGAGGGTGGAGTCTATGGCTTTGTGCCTGTCCGAGGTCCCATGCCTCCTGAAACCTCACCCTCTCCAGGCTCCATCCCTCACATCTCCAGGAATTTCCCACCTGGAGTTGGCAACCCTATCTCCTTCCCAGCCAATCATTAACCTACCTTTATTTCCCCCTCTTCAGCTTTCCACCCCCCCATACATCAGCCTCTCCTGTGCTCTGAAACCCTGACTGCTACATCACATTGGCTGTCATACAGGGGCCACCTCATCAGCATATAAAGATACAGAGCCCACCATTTTCTCCAGGGGGACTGATCTCTGCCATCTGGAAAGCAGTTGTAATTCTGAGTGATCTCCAGCCCTCACCTGGAGATTGGACACATTTTACCTCAGAAGAGCAAACTGTTTAGAATGTTAGAGACAAAAGCCAATCATGTTGCATATGCAAATGACATCTGTGTTCCGAGGCAAAGGCCAATGAGGCTACATATGCAAATAACCTCTCTGTTCTGACTGGCTTTGGGGGGGGGGGAGGAACAGCAAACTGTTTAGAATGTTGGAGGCGAGACTCAAGCAATGCAGCCAGTGGATAGGAACAGATTCTGAGTGACACACCAGGGCGCCAACCAATTCCGGAGCATGTGGAATGTTCTAGAGAAGTGCCATCACCATTCGGCTTTTATGTATAAGGGAGATTTGCATTGCAAGTCTGGTGACTGGGCTGGTCATTATTTTACAAAACCTTTGTTTCAGACATCTTCCTTTTCCCCCTATGAGATCCAGACTAATGTTTCTGCACAGTCAGACTTTTGTCCTTGTTGTTGTTTATTAAATACTTGAAAATATTATTCCCAATACTTTATAATCATCATATGGTATGCCATAAAATATATTCTAGTTCTGCAAATTTATGTTTGACTCACAATATTCCTTGCTGTTGACAGGGAATCTGTGAAAATACTTCAGTGATGGATTAATCTTATTATTTCTTTTTTTTTTTTTTAGCAGGGGATTTTTTATTGATTTTTTTTTAACACTACAAAAAACTACAACAGAAAGGGGGAGGGGAAAAACTACATATAAGGGAGAAAGTAAAGAACCCACTACTGACTAAGAACCCAAGAGAGGAGATCCTCCAACTAGCTTTTTTGCATCCAAACTTTTCATCTTTGTACTTCTTATGAACTGTGTCGAACTTTTAACCCTCCCCATTTACATTTAATTGCCCAATAACAGTGCCCCCCATCATGCCCTGGAACCAAAGTTCTCAAAGGCACAATTAAGAGTCCTTCAGCCTTTATTTCTTCTTTTCTCTTTTCCGCAGTTTGTAGGGTCTTTTCGGGGCTGCTGCCCCCTGCTCAGACAAAGAGTCCTCGCCAGATGAACCAGTTTCCAGCTCACCACTGGACCTGCCGTCCTCTTTTTTTTTTCTCGTCCTCTGACCTTCCCAGCTGCTCCTTTAGAAATTCTTGAGCTTTAAGAACAGAGTCAATCTTTACCTTCTTCTCTTTGTATTTCTTTCTGCGTTGCCTTACTTCAAATGGAATATCCTTTAGCGTTCTAACAGCATTCTCCCCCACCTTCAGGGGTACCACAGCCACTGCTTTCAGGATAGCATCCCTGACGTGCCTCTTCGAGAATCTTACTACAATTTCCCTAGGCAGATTATTTTTCTTTACATATCCTGAATATGACCTGTAGGCTACATCCATGTCGTTGAATAACAATTCCACCTTTATACCTGTTACTGGGGCGAGTAGCTCACTCATAAGTTCTTTAAGATTCTCTCCTCTATTCTCTGGCACCCCTTGGAAGCGCAGGACCATGTTGGCCTATCCATTTGCACTTGCAGCATCTGATCTTCCAAAGAAACAGTTTTCTTTTCCAATTTTTGCACTTTCTTCCTCACTTTCTGCGTTGTCTCAGCCATTTCCTTTACTTTCTCAGCATCCTGCTTTATTACTTGGATCAAGTCTGTTATTTGCGTTTGTTGAGTAGTGAT